CTAATAGTTAATCAAGACACTAAAGCCTATGCAAGCATTTTTCCAAAGGTGAAATTTCTTATTCAGCATAAATTTGTATTAATATGGAATAAATGACTTCATATATGGCAGAAGCTCTAACATATTTTTTAACTTTTTATCAGGAATTACATGGTGTGTCATCAGTGTCAAGACATTGGTACTTTTTACCTTGCTCTTCCTTTTTTGATATAGTAGCCAGATTTCCTCCAAGATCAATGCAGTTGTTTCGTGCAGCATGCCATGTCAATGTATCATTTTCATTAAAGCCAAAGACTTTAAAACACTGAAAAAGAGAAATGTGCCAAATCTGAATCCAGATGCTGTTTTAATTTCTGACAAAAACATCTCTTTTTTAAAAAAACAAAATAAACTGGATATTTAATGTAAAAGGGGAGGTTAGCTAATTTAAAAGTACTTTCTAGCTTGTCTTAAGGTTTAAATGACAGAGAAGACCTGTACTACAAAATTAGTATAAAGCCCAATATTTTGGCATATATTTAAAAGAAGGAATATGTCAGTCTATTGATCTCAGCAGACATTGTATTAAGCCTTCTGAGCACAATTCCGAGATTCTGAAATTCTGAGATGTGATCATGATATAAAAGCTGAAGAAGATGACAGAAAATGCTAAGACATGCTATTAGAGCAAAATATCTCATCTTCTGTTGCTCTATTTGTCAAACCAGATTTGGTTCTCACAGGATAATCACAAGAAAGAAAATGATTCTGACACTGTAAAGAAAGCCATGAATTTGTCATTTCTTGTACTGTGATCTTATGAGGTTTAAATCTTAGACAACTTTGTCAGAGTCAAACAATCCAAAGCATGTAACTGAAACCTAAAGCATGTAACTGAAAAGTTAAGCAGTCAGTTTGTGGAAAAATTGAGGAGAATGAAAGGTGATCAGAAATGGTGTATTAACACTTGGAGAAGAGTCATGGGAAGAGCCTTTCAAGCTCCTCTCCCAGGAAATGAGGAAGAGAGAGAGATTAGTTTGGGAGAGTAACATGAAATGAAAGACACTGAGTTTGTGACTTTTCCTCAGGACTGAGAGAGAATGAAATAGAAGACAACAGCCAGTGGATCTCAAAAAAGGACCTCTATCAAACTGAAATATTTTTGCTCAACCAAAGGGAAGATAGACAGAGCCAGACAAAACAATGCTAATGAGAATTATCTACCTTACTAGGTATATTCTAATTACAGGTATTGTAGTATACACTGTTGCTTTTTACCCTTTATAGCTTCATTTATAAAATCTATGGATTCTTATTGCATACAGTCTTTTATCCTGAAGTTTTGTCTTTTGAGAAGGCTAAGAACAATTGTACATAATAAAGTGCAGTGAGTCTTATAACTAGATTATTTAAATTCCTTAAGTTTTTTGGTTATAGAAAAAAACCTGAAAAATTTGCTCAAGGGAAGATGCCTTGGTGGCTTAAGAGCCATTGCATAGTAGGCAAGGGATGATTAAGTGTCCAGACAACATGCAAGAGCCAGATAAGCTCAGCACAGTAAATGAGAACATATATTTTTGCCAGTGTTTTCTATTGCCAAAGATTGATGAGCAAATTCACTCATGTAGAGTTGTTGCAAGATGAAGCTCTGTTCTTGTATGTCTCAAGATCTCCCTCATAGTTGCTGTGGTCCCAAGAGAGGCTGCAATTACTGTTTTAGGATTTATAATTTTAAGGTCTTTAAATACACACAAACAGAACATAGTTTGTGATAGCTAAAAGCCCTGCTACAATTGAAAAACTGATTCAAAGATTTTTTTTTTATTCTGCTCTTTCACAAATACAATGTATTGACATTTCATACTTCACCTTGTTATCAAAGAGGTGCCAGTCTTCCATACAGCCACCCTTTGGTGGTGGAGAAGTGGGAGTAACAGTTGGACGAACAGTATTGTTAAGCCTTTCACAGATGAATAGCTCAACACTGCCACAGTTGATATCATTCCATGTACCTGAAAGAAAATTAGAATCAAAGCAAAACAAAACAAAACTGAGAGATAAAAAATGTCCTTTCCTAAAGAAAATCTATTGTAGGAAGTAAAACTGGTTACAGCATTTGGATTGCTCTTCCCCAGGAACAATCAGTGATTGTATGTCTGTTTGTTTGAAATATTCTTGTTTCCAGGAAAATTTAGAATATAAATAATTAGTCTAGAAACAGAGATATTTCAATATTGCAAAACCATAGCATTGACAAAGGGGAGTTTTGGTTCAAATACTTAAATCTCTGAGATCTGTAAAGTCTCTGGAATTGCTGTCTATATAAAGCACACAGTCCTGGTTACTTTCCAACCTGAGCTTCTCACAATCTTAGAGTTTTCTGGTATCTTTTTTTTCCTATTGGAGTGTGATTTAAGAGGATAACATTAACATCATCATACCCATTTTACAGATCAGGGATGAATAGGAAAATTACATACATTCCACTGGCTGCAGACAGTTACAGGTAACTACCTACAGCAGAATTTTTCACACCTAATGTTTAATAGAGATATTGTCATTTTAATTCAAAGAAGTTGAATTACTCTTCTTATCTGAAAGAAGATTTCCAAAACAGGGCAAAATATTTACTCCCCTAAAAGTGTCCATATGTTTCCCTTCACCTCTAAGAGAGCCTAGGAAGATCACCTCAGCTATAGAATTTGAGACTAGAAATGTTTAATGGTAGAAGAGATTTACTGATCCAAAAAAAGACTAAGTTGTTGGCTAGCATAAACACAGATGCTTCCAGTACATAAAGAAAAGACTAGATTTTATTTTCCTTTGCTTTTTGAACAGTATGAAACAGCAGCATGCTCAGTGTGATAACCCACACAGCCCTCCCAGGCCTAAGGCACATCCTGCAGATCAAATATTGCTACTTCACCCACCTGTATGGGTATACATGACCACACAGTTTTCATCATTATTTGCAAAATTGGGTTCATTTGGAGCCCAG